AAAGGGCCGTTTTAATGTGCAGTTCTGTCACACTCTTACATAAACAGAGATGCAGTGAATAAATCGATTTTTAATCAGTTTTTTTGCACCACACAGTTAAAAATAAACACTGAGTCTCTTTAAATGTGTATATATTTGAACATTTAAGTTGACCTTTGTTTGTATACAAAACAAACCAGCAAATATTACATATTGCGATTGAACGCAAAACTTATTGTGAGAATGCAAAAAAAAATGTTTCCCCATGTCCTCTAGAGAGCGCCATAGAACCAAAACCTTAGAGTGTATTGGGAGTTTACTATGCAAAAACCACAGTAGATGTCTTTCTGCTGCTCTTTCTTCTAGAAATGCCAGATTTGTAGTATTCACAGTTAACAGTTTTTCTGTCAACAAATTCACTAAAATGACCCAGTGCCTCGGATTGAATTACACACAGCTGTTTTTACCGTTTTACCATATAACGGGGGCTGAATACAAATATGCACCATGTTTTTATTTGTAAACCAAATTGAAACTCTGCATCCATTACCTTGTGCCTCACATTCCCTAGACATTACAGGTAAGAGCAGACTCCACAGTAACACTTGGAACCAGAACAGATGAATGAATCTTTGGAGTCGGCCTCCAACAGAGACTTATGCTGATATCCAGGGGAACACAGACAACAGAGAAAGAGCAGTTCTTTGCATGGAGACAGTTTTGTTGCTTTGTTGAAGCAATTTGTACCTAAAGGAGAGTTTGAACCTGTTTTTTTTATTTATATCATGTCTCCATCTTTCTCTCTCTCCTTCCCTTTTCTTTTCCTTATTCAGTCCATTTTCATACAAGGCCAAAGGACACAATCTTCTGTCCAACTTAAGCTTAGCTCTGGGCACATGGTTGAGTTTTAAGAGTCCTTGTTCCAAAGTGGGGGCTCATCGGAGTCTGGACATCATCTCAGTCTCCGACACTTGATCAAGCCAGGCGTCTTTTCTACATCTCCTCCTCATCTGCCTTATTGCAACACAATTGTGGTTCCACTGACTTTAATCTTCCAATTTTTCTTGGAGGAAAAATAATTTTGAAGTTATTGTTCAGTTTTCATGTCATTTTGTCATAGTTCGTTTATCTGATTTGGGGTAATGCAGCTGTTGGGCTATTTGTTAAATTCTCAAACTTAACTGAAAAATAAGCATGTCAGTGATTATGGTGTGAAAAGTTTTTTCTTCTGGTGGTTCTGAATTCATTCCTTCAGGAGAAAGATTGAGAAGTTTGACTTATGATTCCAGAGATGCTGGAATTGGTGACTGATTCAAGTAAAATATACAATTTCATTAATAAATTAGTAATTGTTATTAATAATTGTATAAGGCAAACATGGATTTTTTCTCAACAATATAACATTTTTAGAAAATACACAAATGTCTCTGGCTGTAACATGAAAGCAGAGGCATGAAGACTTCTAGGACAGAATGACAGGAAGAGCCCAGTCAGGGTTCAGAAAAGGTTTCATTGTAAGATGAAAAGAAACAACAGTTATGAAAATGTCTTGTGTTTTTAGGCTGATAAAGTTCTAGGTTATAGCTCTAGGCAGATATCAGGTCACTGTTTTTGGCAGTCAGACACATGCAGGCAACACTGGAGAAGCTCCAGGCTCTGCCCTCCCCTAGGTGTGTCTGCCTGTCTGCTCCAGTGAGTTGGCTATGAACTGTTTTTGAATATTTGACTGTCGGTGACAAACCTTCACTCTCCTTTTTCCTTCACAGCTGAGATTGGGAGGCCTACCTTCAACCTGACAGTGCATGAAGACAAAAAGACCGTCACCCTGCATGTGACTGACCCACTCACAGCTGTGTTTAAAGATGATCATCAGCTGAGCATCAGAGACATTTTTTCTGATGAGCTACAGTACAAAGTCTCTTACTGGAAGCAGCAGAGCACTGGCTCAGTGAGTGATGCAACCATCTATGTGAAGATCCTCCACTCAAGGATCACATGTACAATGTACTCTTAAGCCAGGCCACATTTTAGCCTTTATCTAGTCTCTTCCTTTTTTTTCTTTTCAGAAAATTCAAACGTTCAGCTCAAGTGTGATAGAGATTACCAATCTAGATAAAGGCGAGAGCTACTGCTTCAGGATCCAGGCCCACATTCCCAGCCGGTCTAAGAACCAGTTTGGACAGCTGAGTGAACTCAAGTGTTCTCATAATGACGAGGAGCCTGTCTTAAAAGGTCACTTCCTCTGACCTCTTCATGTATCACAGTATTTTGTCCCTTTTGTCCCTTCATACTGAAGTTACTGATGGTGTTTCAAAAGACACATTCACACAAGTATCATGTCATGCATTGAAGGTTAAAAGGCAGCATCATCTGTCAGCAAAACAACTTGTGAACAAGAAACAGCCCTAAAGATCCAGCGTTGGGGAACTGCTGAATGTGTTCACATTATGTGATTTCACATAATGTGCATCATGATGTATACCTTGTGAAAGATTAAGAGAGACAGTGTCAGGTTTAAAATATATCAGCACCTCTGCCTCCTGAGCCTAAAGGTAACTAACTGTGATGAGTGTCAGAGACCCAACAGCTCTAGATCAGGGAGTTTAACTCATTTACATTTCAGACCACAGAAGGACAACGAATGTCTTAATACATTCTGGTTGTGACAGAATGTATTAAAGTTCTACTTATGTAGATTGTGGAGGGTCATATAAATAGAGGCCCTGAGTTTGAAGCTTTCATTTGTTAGAGGTCATCAAAGCTTCTTGTCATGTCATGATGACCACAGGTACTGGTCAGGTTAATCTTCTGGTCTCTGGCATTAGTATGGACATTAGTTCTCCTGGGTGAAGGTGCAGATTATCTGACTGCACCATTTACAAAATAAATAAAAAAATAAGCTAATCCAAAATATAGATTTTGAAGTTTTTTTAAAATAAAGTTACATTTTTTGATAAGGTAAGGTTATTGATCTATTCACAGTGGAAACCAGATGTTGAAATACACTAAATTAGAAGATATACACATTTTTTCTCACTCTCAGAAATTCAGTGAGACCAAAGTTATGTTAGGCCAGTTAGATTCACCAAAAGTATTTCTATTTGCTGAATGTCACAGTACTGAGAAAGAATATCCATGTGTTCATCCATCCATGAACAAATGAATGGATGAACACAAGAAAATGCAGGGTAGTGTTGTGGGGAGGCATGCTGGATGCAACACAATGTTTGAAATGCTTTGTGTTTTTGTGTACTGTGAAGAGGAATGATTGATATTTTGTATTTCCTTATGTTTGCAGTGTATTCTCCTGCTGTTATTGCTGGTGGTATTCTCTTCATCCTGCTGGTGGTAGGTCTGATCACCACCATCATTGTGATCTACTGCAGCCAGAAGGGAAAAGCTCTGAAGAGCGGGACAGAAGGATGTCCACTGCAGGATGTTTAAAGTTTCATCCATGTTCCTGGGTTCTGGGCAGAATGGCGGGGCGGGGTGAGGTGTGGGGCGTCCAACCTTCCAATGTCATACACTGGAATGATCCTACTTGAAGTTTCTGTGAAACTGCCTTACACTGTGAGACATTTAAATGGTTGTTCTTTCAGGCTGCAGATAACATGCAGTTTGAATTCATACTGAAACGACTTCACTACAAGATGTTTATGGATCTCTTTCTTTGGTGAGCGGTACAACAGAAATATATATGTTTTTAAATAATTTTCGGAATAATTGAGATGTGGGATTTCTTTCGGGCTCAGTAAAAGTTAATATAAAACTTTATACTAAATGAATGCACTACAAATACTTCATATCTGCTGTTTAATTTATGGAAAGCTCAGTTGGCATCTTAGCGTTTTTGTTGTTAGATGTGTTTATTGTGAAAGGTTTTTAGAATATGATTGAATATGAACATTTAAAACATTTTTATGTGGTGTTTTAAATAAAACTAATGTTATTTATGTCCAAAGTCCTGGTTTTGTTTGCCATTATACAATTGAAATCCTCATCATTTGTGCAATGCACACACAAACTATGTGGATTCCGATATTCCAGTTTTATGTAAACCAATAAAGCACAAGATTTTTCAAGACAGTTAGCCTCGAAATGTCTGTTTAGACCCTCACTGGCATTCTGACGAGCATCTTAAAATTCCTTAAATACTGCACAGCTTCATATTTACATCATTAATGAACAGCCACTACTCCTGCCAACATTGCCACCTCATGAGATGGTAATGTTGGCAGGAGTAGTAGGACCTCTGAGATGACTTTTTGTTATCTGGTCACAAATTCATTTCACCTTTTATTTACTATAAAACTCACATGCATCCATCCATTGTCTTCCTCTTATCTGAGATCAGGTCCCAGAGCAACAGATCCAAGTGGGAATCTCAGACTTTTCTTTCCATTGTCTGCACATCCTTGCAAAATACCACAGTCGTCTTCATCACATAAACTTCTTCATGCTAAGCTTAACGAACTCATCTTGACTTGTTGTGTGTTGCATTGCCCCATAATGTCCCTCCGTGTCTGTGAGCTTCTGCCGTGTGTCCACACCACATTAATCATTTCCTGACCCTCTCTTCCATTTCAATACAATCATCATCATTTGTAATGATTAATTCCTTACATTTATCAAAAATCATCCTTTGATGGTTTCCAGTTTTAACCTTAAATCATTAAAATTTTCTCAACTTTTCTTCTTAAAAAAGTGTTTACATAAAAGACAAATACAATCTCATTGCTTTTATCAAAGTTATATGTCACTGTTAGTTTAAGCTATTTCTTTGCATTTTCGAGTCTTATGGTTGGGTTAGGGTTCCAAAGACTTAGCCTTTCTTCACAGGGCCTATTGAGTTGACAAAGAATTTTATGATTTAGTGTCAAATGCCTTTGAAAAACCTACAAATATACCAATTGACAAAGTTATCAACAAACGGCAGAGAAAAAATATTTCTGGACAAGTTTTTTTTTTTTTTTTCTAAATTCATACTGATGATTGTACAAGTTTTTATTTATTTTAGTTTTTTATTTTTTTTCTTTACAATTTTTAAGTACTTTAGATAACACTGAAATCAGCTGATAGTGACTGAATAAATTCACATCCCCAGATTTGAACAAAGTTGTTCTTTAGCTACTTTTAAATCTTTGGGTAAAATACCTGTTTTAAGAGACAAAGAGAGAACATATGTAAAGGTAATAAAAGGAGCAACTTTCTAATGTCATGCTGGCCTTTCTGACCACATCTACACACAGCATATCGCCTGTTGATGAGGCGGATTACGTCAACGAAGAAGACAGTCACTGTGTTCCAGGACTGTTTTCAGTGCACAGATCTGCAGCTCTTCAGAGAGGCGACTACATAAAGAGGGAGTGCTGACCTGGAGAAAACACATTCTCTGTTCTTGGCTTCATCCCCAAGTGTGCTGATGATGTCACCACCACCACCCGTTATCCAAACCAGAAACCCTGGCTGAAAGCTCGGGTCACCAAGTTCAGCACAGATGAGGCATCAGCACTCAGAGGTGAGGATAGGACTGACTACAGGCATTGTGAGGGCTAAGGCCAAATATGGCCAGAAAACTCCGGATCACTTCACCACCAACAACTCCCAGTGTATGTGGAAGAGCATCAAGTACATCACGGACTACAACGTCAGGGACACCCAATGCCCAAGAGAGGAAGCCGGAGGACTCATGGAAAACCAACGCATGCACAGGGAGAACATGCAAACCCCATGCAGAAAGCTCAGCACAGCACTGCTGCTTGGCAACAGTGCTACCAACTGCACCACTTTGGCTTTGTGTCCCCCAATAGGTGTAATGTTGCTGTTGATGGGTTTCTGCTGCTGACAGAGCTGGAGGGCT